TAAAAGTTGTTTCAAATTAGCAGAACCTCGAGTTGGGCCAGATCGATCGGGGAATATTCCATGAAAGATTTAGGTGCTAATGTGGTTCATAGACGGACAATCGGAGAGACAGTCCTTTCGAGGGTGTAGCTTTTGTATATCAGAAGATCTCCAAAACGAGCATTACCGTTACATTACGTTCCTCTACATCGATTTTCAGTAGCAATACATAACTTTCTCTTTGCTACGTATATTACACGGCACATGACAAAGTAATAAGCTCTTCAATAATTACGACGTATGCAAAGTTTTGCTCTTCAATTTCGATGGTCAAAGTCAGCGCACAGAGTTCAGTGCTATCTAGCGGCGTGACTTAATACCTGTACCTTCGCGAAACGTGTACAAAGTTTGGAAAAATATTTTTGAAAGGAAACATAAATCAAAATTATTCACCCCTCTTAAATGATGACTTTTATATTATTTTCTTCCTATAATATATTCAAATATATTTTTGCTTCCTTTACTTGTGTAGTAATAAATTACGAATTTAAAAATTTAAGGATCTTAAACTTATTTTATAATTTATCATTTTGTCATATCACTTTTACTGTTTTTTCTCCCATTATTCCACAATTTTAAAACTCTCAATACACTGTCAGGGCTCAGCTTATTCATATATTTATCATTTGTAATATTATTTTTTAAGTTTCTTTGATTAGTATGAACTGATGTATTTCCAGAGATACATAGGTAGCTGGATTTTTTTTTCTCTTTTTGTTACTATGCAAAATGTCAATCATTTCCTTTTTCAATGTCCATATCACACCTTAAATAATTCACAATTTTTAGATTATTACTTTATAAAAGAGATTTCTTTAGAAAATAAATGGATTTGATAGGTTTTAATTCTTCTTAAAAATCTCAAAACCAACTTTATAATTAAGAAACAAAAAAAAAGAAGGAAGTATTCATTACAAGCAGATATTTAAATATCAAAATTAAAGTAGCAGAAATAATAAATTTCAGAATTATCAATATGTTATAGACTTTTCATTTTATTATCAACAAATGTTGTCAACTCAGTCTTGAATCCTTTGGAATGGAATGCAAACAATATGTAATAATTGTTTTGTATAAATTAAGTAAAATTACAAAAATTACGTTGTTATTTTGAAGGGATGAGGGATGGCTGCCTCCCCCCCTCCAAAAAAAATGCGATTCGATTCTAACCTTTTCAGACAGAATTTGAAAATGATGTGAAATTAAACTAGAAGTTTTTGAAAAGGCTGCATTTGATCCAAATATGCAATGGCTCCCTCATTTCTCCATTGAGAATTTGCTATATAAGTGCTTGTTCAAGTGAGAAAGATATAAAAATATCTCTGGAATGCATTGGATTATACAGTGTTTTCTTTTCTTTGTCTTATTTATGTTTTTCTATTTTTGTTTGCTATATTTTATGTTGCATTTTTATGTTTGGTTCAGCAGGAGAAGCAGTAAAAGTAGTGAGTTGACCCAGCATTCAGTTCAAGTGACATTCAGGTAAATTAAGCTAAATAATATACATTCTGGATAATAATGAGTTGTTCAAAAAATTAAAACAATTTAAAATAAACTTCTAACACCATAAAATGTTTACTGATTTAAATATTTATTGACTTTTATCATTGTATTCATGGTTGACTACATTCAGTTTCATTCTCTAGTGAAACAAAATACCTCAATTTTACTGCTGTAAATTTTAATTTTCTTGTGCAATTAATGTATAATTCACTTTGAAGCATTTTCACTTGACTACCTACATAGATGCCACAACCTAATAAAATATTTTTACTCTCATTTAAATGCAATCCCCACCCCTCATTTTCTGTTATTGTTAGCTTCAAATTTTAAAAAATTAATGTTTACAATTGAAATACTGCTTTGGATGTGATACAATCAATTTGTGGTTATTGTTGCAAATTAATTGATAAAAATTATTATCTAGGGGGAAGAATGAGATCCGTTTCCCCCCCCCAAATCAATTGCTGTTTAGACCGGAGTTCTGGACAAACAATGCATGGTCAAAAGATTTGTTGGAAAAATATATTTTATTCACTCATGAAAATTACTTTCCTAGACAATATTCACAATGGTGATATAAAATTGTCAATGTCAAAGTCATGTAATTGTGACAGAAATTTAATATTTCATCCTCATTATCATCATGAACTGCAGTATGAAAGGCCAGGGGGGGGGTGGCCTGTTCCTGTTTAATCAGTAGACCTGAAATACTTCAGTCTTCCAGGCATGAATATGAAATTTAATATTTGAAATTCAATATTTTGAGCTATTAAATAACAAAAGGGTTATCTTTCATTCATTTATGTCTTGAATTCATTATGTTTTTAAAATGTACTTTTTAACTTATTTTATTTTCATTATTATAAATTTTTTGCTTAAACCGGCAATTTAAAAATTTGAAAAAAATTACCAACGTATTTTCTGAAGTACTACATGGGTTTGGTAAGTTTCAAAGAGAGTCCAAGAGGATTCTGAGAAATTAAATACAATAGAAATGTCTGCTACAGTGTTCTGCTGCAGTGACTGCCAGATAAGTCACCCTCAAACATGTGCCAATCAGCAGTAGACAGTTACCATGGTTATACGTTCACAGAGCAATAAATAGAAATATGTCTTTGCATCATTCAAGATGCTGAACATGTACTTATGATCTTCAGAGGTGATTAAATTCAAAATATAGAGTATTAAAGGGATTCAATTAAGTATTAAACAGATGAGATACAAATAAGAGTATGTGATTCAGTTAATTAAATTGATATTTTTTTGCATCTCTTTGCAGAGAATGTTGTTTATTAACTGCTTCATAAAAAAATGAAACCTTTTTTCTTTGTGCCTTCAACACACTTTTTTTTAATTTCCATATCACTGTTGCAAGAGTTATCTTTCTCAGTCATGTTCAGCATTGCTAAAAATAAAAAGGTAGTGTTCTACACATCATCACCCCACTCAATTATTACATTCTTGACAGAGTTGAAAGAATTCTCATTGATAATATTTTAATTGTTCTCCCCAATCCCTTTCATGAGACACTGCAAAGCGAAGAATATCAGCCTTTCAGCACTTACATTGAAGTCGTCTTGTAGAAGCATAAACTCACAACTTTTTGTAGGGCCTAATACTATTTCCATTCAGTCCCTCCCATAAATATTAAGTCACATTATATTTGCTTAATATTTTTATTTTATCACAGTAAATTTAAGTTACGATGATATAAAATGCATAACAAAATAAGACAATACACCTTGAAACCACAATAATTAATTTAATTTATTCAAATAAAGTAAATTTTTACAAACAAAAAAGTCCTTCCGTAACATATTTATTTATATTACAAAATTAAAAGTTCAGTATTTTGTAAACCCTACTTTACTTTTTATCACCTCTTCTAATCATTTGGTCATACTGCTGATGATTTTCTTCAAGTAAACTTCAACCCCTCCCATTCTTCTTTCAGCATAGAAGTTAAATTTTTCACTGAGGTTAGCAGTCTCAATCTTAGAGCTTCCTTCAATTCACTCCATGGGGTTAAGGTAGGGTGATTTTGGTGGTGTCTCCAAAACTTAGGGGTAATTGAAGAGCAGCCATTCCCTCATAATGTGTGTGCCTCATTTTGTCATGTTACAATTTAAATGTATTTCAAATCCCAAGCTTTTCAGTCAACTGATGTTCATTGCTTCTTAGAGGGGTCAAGTAGTTTTCCTTCATCATGACTTCAATGAAAACTAATTCACATACACCAGTCAACATAACACATCCCCTCCTATAGCCCTCATGCAAAAGTTTCAAGTCGCTAAAAAATAGTGATGTTTTATGAGTTGATGTGTGAAACATGTCATGAAAACGGAATGAAAATTCAACTGACCAACTTGGTTTGCAAACTTGCCTGATGAGAATAAATAGTGGGAAGTTTTAATTGAATTGAAGTGGTTGTACAAATCTGTACCCAAGCAAAAACTTGCTCCTGGAACCTCCAATAATTTTAAAAAAAAATCATTTTAGTTTAGAAATATGTAAAATATTTGAATATGAAATAATTTAATTGCAAAGAGTAATTTATTTTAATTTTGACTATATGAATTAAATATTTATATTATTAAATATTATCAGCCCATGGTTTCATCATGCTTTGGCTCCTTAAGATGTAAATCTGGTCCTGGCCAAGACAAACTCCCATCTTGATCAGGTATTTGTTCAGTTTCCCTGACACATTGAGCATATGCTGAGAAGGCCCCTTGTTTTGCTTCTGCATAGAAATATAGCTTCACTATGCACTTTTTTTTAACTTTCTTCTTGCTTGTAGTGGTAGGAGTAGAGTTAAGGGTGAGTTACTAGCAATGCAGAAAAATTAAATCTGAAGTTTTTTTACCATTGCAAATAAGTTTTCTATAACTCGGGAACAAAAATGTCTAGTTTTTCAAAATTTGCTAATCTCACACTTTTTTTATTTAAATTTTATTTATTTGTTTTTTAAAAACTTTTATTCATCTTTCAACTAGTTATAGTTAAAATGTTGGGAAGGGATTCTGGAACTCAAGAAAACATGTGCATATGATCATACCTCCATATGTCACAAACATTTTTACTGCTTTTTGACTAAATAAATCAAACCCATTTCTGTTACAGGCTGAGGAGGAAGAGCTAGACATTGACCTATCAGATCCTGATCTGCACAAAGCAGCCACAAAGATCCAGGCTTCCTTCCGAGGCCACAAAGTGCGTAAAGAAACAGAGGCCAAGGATGCTGAAGGATCACCTGACGGAGCGGCAAGCCAATGAGCTTGAACCCCTCCCACTGCCCGCCTGTGGCCTGGGGACCCTACTATGCCCTTCTCCCCTCCCAGTCACTATCAAACCCCTTTCTGTGAGGCACTCCCAACTCTGTGGCTATTCATAGCTTGATGTATCATGAACGGGAATAAAGAGAGAAAATAATTAAATTGGTACTTTTTCTATGATAGGGCAATCATGGACATAAAATGAGAAAGAGAATAAGCAATTTCCTAGCTAAAAAATTGAGCTGAGCTTTGCGGTTTTAAATGCTTAAAAATATTTTGTTAATGCCATAAAAATAAAAAAGAACATTTAAGAGGTACGAAAAATGGAAAAATTGTTAGATATACTGTGAGGAAAGTAACTAGTGTAAAGTCTTGCATGATGTTTTCAATGACTAATTCCTTTCACATTGTTTTTTCATGGCATTGATACATTTTAAAATATTTATTTTCAAGAAACATAGACAAATTTCAAACAAAACTTATTAAAAGTTTTGTTCCCATTTCTCTTTTCCTTTTTTGTCCTGGGGCCATTCTATCACAGAATGAGAATCAATTTTCTTTATTGTTTGAAGCTCTGGCACTGCTGCTGCTGAGTTGAATTGTGTCTCAAACTCCACCCCTAATCTGAGCTCAGAAGCGAACAATGTCATGTTCTCTTCCTACCTGAATTTATTTGCATTAGTGAGCTTGAAAACATAGTCTAAAAAAATTGTTAATTTAATGAGATTTTTGTTATTGTAAATTGAAAAAAATTAAAATTGTCAAAGCATTCCCACAAAATTTTCAAATAATATAATCTGATTCTAAAGAAAATAAAACAGCTAGGATAAACAAAGAGAATCTCTTTACAATTGATCAGAATTTTTTGAATGTATTTGTAATTTACAACACAAGTGATAATTAGCTACTTGAAATACATGAGAAATAATTTTCAAATTATTTATGTGAACACCAACTTTTCTAGCTGATGAACAGAATTTCTTGCAAGCTCATTAATTTAGTCTTTTCTTACCAATTTAAGTGCATAATGATAAAACATTAATACATTACTATAAATTTAGTTGCACAGCAATAAAAAACAACATTTGAAATTTGACAACTATATTTATATTTTATTAAAATATTTAAATTTTTTTTGAGTTTTATAATGTAATTAACATGTCTGTACTTAAATACAAAAATCTTTGTTGTTAAATTTATTCTTTTTTTTTCAAATTTCAACTGTTCAAACAAACCATTGCTATGTAACTCTATATGAATTATTTCTTTCATTAACCCAGAGGTAAAAGAATTCCAATACACAATGCTTCAAGGTACAATTTTTCTTTTAAATTTATTAACATTTTGCAATAAAAATCTTGAGAGTCAAAATACTCATTAATTAAGCAATCACTTGAGAAAGTAATGATTACAAAGTGTTTGTTTTGGAGAAACAATGTTTGCTTCTGCTGCTTGGTCTCAGATGTATTGTTTGACTGCAATAGAGCTATCCTTGACAAAAAAGATCCACTAGCTTTGCACTCTCCTATCCAGCTCAAAACCAGACTTCCAGTATTATGTTCCCAGTTGGACCAGGTAACCTAAAATTGCTGTGATGTTTTTTGATGGTAATTGAATGTGACAAAATTTGTCAAGAGACCTCAATGTTATTTTAATACCAATATTTGCATTTCCGGTACTCCATTTCAAAAAGATTGATTCACAATTTCCTTTTTATTTGGCAGAACTCTGCCTCTTTAGGAGAGTAATAACATTGTTTATAAAATGTAATTTGTCCAATATTTATGTTAATAGAATTTGAATGATAACATTTCAATATTTCTACATAAATAATTTAACATTGTTTATTAATGATAAGATAGTAGAAATAATCTGCTGTCTATAGCAGAAGTACTATACAAGTACCAAAGGAGAAGATGAAATTAATGAAGGAAATGGAGATATTTAGATTTCCAGCGATTACTAGTACTGGTTGTAACCGTAGATAAAGATAATAGGAATATTAAAGGCTGTAAAACTGATGTAAACATTTTATTCATAAACAAGTTATCAAATATCCAATTTCCAAGAACTAAAAACTAAAATTTACTTTATTACTACAGTGTCTAAGGCTGAAACATCACAGTAATTAACTCTTTGTTAAATTATTGAGTTCTAATCCTAGTATCATGTTTTAATGAACTCTCAATCATTTTACATTTTCCTCTATCCCACCAGTCTCATTGCTCCTTTCAGTCACAGGTTGTCCATCATTTGTCATCAAACCTACAGGTATTGAGTATGAATAAATGAAATTGACTCAAGCAAAAGAGATTGGTTGCTCCTCTTATCTGAATGTCACCAGACTGTATGGTCACAGGTCACTGTTAAGATATTGCAGTTATTTGTAATATACAATAATTAATTAACATAATATTAATGATAATCAAAATACTACCAAAATGTTTAAATAAATAAATAAAAGATTCATATTCATAAGATTACACAGTTACATAAGTATAATAGCAAAACCAAATTATTATAATCATATAGAACTATGATTATTGTTCATAATAATATCTGTATATTGTTACTACTTATATATTTTTAGAAAGCTAGGACTATGCTAATAAATAGTCCATAATCCCCTGAGGAAGGTCTAGTCACTTTTATGTGAGTTCAGCACTACATTATAAACCAGCAAAGAAAATATTGAAACATTAACAGAAAACTTCACATTACTACAATGGTGCAGTCTTGAAAGTGATTCAATAAAATAAATGTTAAGATTCAAACTCAGTATGGTGCTAAAAGTAATTATTACATATTTGTATAGAGCAAATTGAAAATATCTGTACATCTGCCTCATGTAACGAGAAGAATGAAATTTGCATCTCCAAATACCAATGACTTTATAAAAGTCATACCCTAGGGGCAGTTGTATATAGTATGGGGCACCTTGGTAAATGATGTGGGTTACTCAAAGAATTCTAGAAAATGGGTTAGGAGTTGAAGTTACTTTTCCTGCAGGAAAATTGTCCAGGTTCCCACATTCCATTTATACAATTAGATCGCATTTACCACAAACTAAAGACATTACTTGTTGAAAATATACACATTTGAATCAAGGAGCCTTAAAACATAAGAACATTTTTCCTATGGAGATATATTTTACAATGTTATAATGTGTATACATAAATCATTCTGACTGACAACCGAACAAGTCTGTGAGAATTTATTTATTATTATTTTTATTTTTTTTATGCTCTTTTTCTTCTCTAATCCATATTGATCCTTTCTTTTGAACTCTTTAGAAAGGGAAAATGTCTCATGGGGCTTTTCTAACTATGTCCCTAACTATGGCTCTGTCCCCTAAATTTCTCTTTACTCTTTAGCAGGGTACATACCAACACACATTTCCACAGCAGCAATTTTGATTGACAGAACATAGAGCCATACAAAAGAAAATTTTTTCACCTGGGAACAATAACACTCGATATTATGCAATGTGAAGCTTATTATGGAGCTAATATTGTTGATTTTAATTTCTGCTCTTCTGATATTATGTCTTGAATGCACCGAGCTCTTGAACTTTTTTCTATCACTGTGCTTTGCTTTCTGTATTCTATTGTACAGACCATTGCTGTTTTCAGAGATGTAATGAAATATAACCATATCAGATATCTGATTTTTGCTGTTGTGTGTAGAAAATGCTAGTTTGTGTGTTGGGATAGTCAAAGCCCTGCTCTGTAGTAATCAAAGACATGTAGGTCAGCCTGTAAAAACAATATTCCTCCTTTCTCTCAAGTTGTTTGCAGTACATAATTGTCCCTGAAATACCCCACTTATGCCCTAATTCAAGGACCTTATCCTGGCTAGGACAATCGGCACATTTTTGAAATGGCTTTTGCCATCCCGAGACTCAAATTTCACCACTTTACTACTTAATGTAAGCTTCACCCTTTCAGGGTATCTTTTCTGAAGTATGAAAGGATAGAGCTGGGCAAAGGATGGTAAAACTGTCAGAAAAAATCTGATGGAATATTTTTCCTTCATTTTTAATAATAATAGTGAAATTTTCTCTTAGGAATTATCTATATATTATTTCCTAATGAACATGAACAATAACTTTGAGAACATATCTTTGGTATTGATTTTTATGTATTCAGTCTTGTCTCTTTTTCATATTTTTCTCAATATGTATTTACCTTTTTCTGGCAAAAATTCAGAATGTTTTGCCCAGCTTTTGTGAAAAGTTTAGAGATAACTGTTATACATTTCTATAAATAGCCAGGATTATGCAGCAAACATGGCATCCTTCAGTTTCCAAACTTCGCTTATCTTCTATCCATAATTGTTGTTACGGCAATGTAAAGTATAATTTTGTATATGAATGCTCTTGTTCACAATGCTTTGTATTGCAAAATGTAATTATTAGTTCTGTTACTTTACTGAACAAATTATTTGCAAGGCAATATTGTGCTGAATATAACATATTTGACCAAGCCTACTTTCATGTAGCAACTAAATTTTAAACATTGTTTACAAATGGTTAAATGTAATGCTTTTATTGGTGACATTGCTGTTTCAGGAGTAGTGCAGTCATTGTTTGGTATTTTTTAACATAAAAATTAAGTTGTTTGTATCAAATGTATTATTTCTTTAAAGCCTTGTGGCAAAAGCAAATAAAAAGTTTCTTCCTGGAAACCTGTGATTTTTTGCCTTTTCCTCCCTCACCTAATTTCAGAAAAAATCTGCATACTAACTTTCCACACTATCTTTCATTCTAAATATTTGACTGCTCTTCAAGCTATTTATCCATGTGCTTAAGTCTGGTATTCATATGTGAGCATTTAAACATTTCTTTATGGCTCTACTTAGTTTAATGGCTTTCATTGCATAACCTTCATCAATTGCTATCACAACCAAGGCATTCAGTATCTAATGGTTCCTTCTTATACCATAATACACAGTGTAAATAGATATTGATATTATTATTATTATTATTATTATTATTATTATTATTATTATTATTATTATTATTATTGAGTCACATATATACAATTACAATCGTGTATGACGAGTCAATATGATGCCTTGGGTGGAGAGAGCGAATTTATATTACTGTTCAGGAGCAAACAAGGGGCCATCTCAGCATTTGCTCAAAGGATCAGGGAAACTGAACAAAACCTGATCAAGATGGGGTCATTGGCCTAGAAATACAATACTTGTTACAGTTAGATTAAGATATTATACAGTAGATAAAT